CGTAAATATGGAAAATTTATTATCGGACTTTGATTGTTTTCGTCGTTTTAATGACAACAAATTATACTGCCGCAATTGTGATCAGGTGTTAGTTTTTAATGGAAAGTCAAGTATGACACAACATGTGAAAACACAAAAACACATGCAATCTTTAGAGGGATGTCCAGACAAAATCTTTTATGAAGATTTATGCAACGCATTTGTTTCTGCAAATATTCCATTAACAAAATTAAATAATACAATTTTCAAAAATTTTCTTTGTAAATATACTAAACGTAAAATACCGGATGAATCCACAATTAGAAAACATTATATTCAAAATCAGTACAATAAAGCAATGACGGCAATAAAAACGAAAATTTCCAGCAAATATATTTGGGTTAGTGCAGATGAAACGACTGACATAAAGGGTAGATGTGTTCTTAATGTTGTTGTAGGATTATTAAGTGCTGAAAATACTTCACAACAGTATTTAGTTCCTAGTGTGTTTCGTGAAACTGTGAACGCTGAAATGATTTATGAAATAGTGAAACGTGGATTGAACAATGTAATTGATAATGACGTTTCAAAAGTTTTATTGTTTATTTCAGACGCGGCAAGTGTAATGTTGAAAACAGGGAAACTATTACAAGAACATTTTCCAAACATGCTGCATGTAACTTGCCTTGCTCACGCGTTACACCGAGTTTGTGAGTTTATCCGTGACAGCTTTCCAGACATTAATTCGTTGATTAGCTGTTTTAAAAAAATTTTGTTAAAAGCACCGTCCCGAGTTTCTTTATATAAAGAAATATGTCCGAATATCCCCCTACCTCCACAACCAGTTATTACACGATGGGGAACTTGGTTACAGGCTGTGTTCTTTTTTTCGGAGCATTTCGACAGACTAAAAGTATTTATTTCCAACTTATCAGAGGACGCTCTCTCTATCACTCAGTGTAAAGGTTTAATAACAAAAACAACCTTGCAGTCGGAGTTAAATTTTCTTGCGACTTATTTTTCGTGTCTCCCAGAAACTATAAAATTCCTTGAAACCCGTAACTTACAATTATCGGTTGCTATGGAAAAATTTGAATCGACATTGTTACACTTAAAAAACGTAAAGTGGCCCTTACAAGATAAATTTAACCATAAAATAGATTGTGTTATTAAAAGAAATCCAAATTTACAGACTCTGAAACAAATCTCCCTGAACAATTTTAACGATTATGAAACTGCTTTAAAATATTGTGATTTTGTTCCACATTTTTCATTTGCTCCTGTAACGAGTTGTGACGTAGAACGATCGTTTTCTAGGTTTAAAGATTTATTGACTTCTAAAAGAAGTAATTTCACTGAAGACAATTTAGAAAAATATGCAGTCATACAAACATATTTTTCAAATGAAGAAGATTGATATTAATTTGTATTGTATATATTGTATATAATTGTATATTTGCTACTTTAGGATAAAGAGTGTATATTGGAACACTCTAAACATAAAACTAATGATGGTGTATCCTCGTTGATATATTTATTAGTCAATAATATATTAACAGAAAAAGCCAACAACATTATCCCACAACACAATAAAAAAATAAATAATAATATCATTTGTAATTATATAATAATATCCAACCAAATTTGAACTAAAATTTAATAAAATAATTATTGTAATGTAAATGTAATAATAAGCCCGCCCCAAATGTTACGCCCGGGCGATAAAAATCCAATATCTTATCTACTGTGTCGACCAGTTCAGTAAATAACTTGTTTTATTCAGAATGTATTATTCAAATCGAAGGTCCGCTCTTACCGTTACTTCGCTGATAAGAATAAATTAAATTGTCCGGTCTTTAATCATAAGACAACGTAATTTTTTCTCCTAACAGAGTTTTTTTTTTGCGTTTTCTTATGATCGTTAAAAACTTTTATTAAACTATTTTTTGTTTACATATATTTATGCTATTATTAGTATTTAATATTTTCTTATTATTTTTATGATGTAAATTATACTGTAATTGTAATTATTTTTGTGCCCATCCTGTAATTGGTTTTATACTGTTGGATGGTGTAACCCAAATAAATAAATAAATAAGTCACTGTCTTCACTATAACTACTGACTGACTACTGGTATCATTATAATTGTCTTTTCTGAGGTTTATTATTAAGTTTTCCATTGTTATATCCACTTTCCAAAATGAATTTTCCACCTTTTTAACATGATCAATACATTTTTTCCATTTACATCTGAAACTGCTTTCAAAAGCTAATTTCCGCACACTAGCTAATTTAAATGATGTATTATTTCGAGAAACATAACCGTTTAATTGTGACCAGATCAGTTCAATGGGATTCAACTACGCGTGGTAAAATGGCAATCTGAGAATTTTAATTTCTTTTTCTCGGGCCATCTCGTCTATAATATATTTTTTGAATTTGGTTTTATGTCGCCTTCCTATTACGAGTAATTCTGCCTTCAAGGATTTAGGAGGACTAATAATATTTTTAAGAAGAAGCCATTTTGAAATATCTTCTTTTTTCAATCTTGTTTATTATTTTACAATTTTAAAAACATACAAAAAACTTTATTGCCTCTCATTTTATACATAAAAATTTGTATTGACAATAATTATAATGATAACTTTGACGTACAGGTCATAGGACGATATTTGTTTAATTTTTAATACATGTGTGTTTTGTTACTTTTCAATACACGTGTGATATATATTTCAGTACACGTGTGATATAAGCTACTTTCTTATAAGTACATATGAGTGTGCAAACTATCATTTTCATATGTCAGGCGTCTAATATCAATTATTGCAGTAAAGTCCACTTTTCTAAATTTTCCACTACACAACAAAAACTATTTAAAAATATTAGGACGTTACATAAAATTACTGTTTTGGCTTTTAAGTGTATGAATAAATTATTTTATATAAATTGCAGACAAAATCGCCGTAGGATTTTGAATAATATTTTAAATTGGCTATATATATTGAAGTTTGCTGTCTTTGATATTTAAGGTCGGAGTTTGCTATATATGATTTGTTCATGAAAGAAGATTGCTGTTTATGATAGTAAACTGGGGTGTGAAAACATTCATGACTGTATTGAATACAAACACAGTTCTACTCACTAATTATTACTGTGATTAACAGAAACTAAAAACAAATGTTTTTCATATTGTCAATGAACAATGTGTCCATGTGTCCGACCAATGGGGTTGCCACCTGTCCTTTTTTGAAGCAAAATGTCCTTGTGACTTTTTAAAGCCTAAAATGTCATTTTTACGCAAAGGTCCTCTTTTACGACAAATGTCTTTTTCTACGACAAATGTCTTTTTTGACTGACAGCACATATTTTTGGAAGGGACATGGTTTGTACAAAAATATATAAGCTGAGGACCTTTTTTTTAGAAGTTCACTAGAAAAATGAGGACTTTTTGTATACCAAAGCTCCTATCAGCATCATAGTCCTTTTTTCACTTTTCAAAAAGGTGGCAACCCTACCGACCAAAAAATTTGCTGGGGGGGGGCGGGTGGGGGCAAATTTTGTAGGAAAGTTCAAAACGCCGCAGGCTATAGACGAAAGCCATAACGAAAAATCCAAAATCGGAAATCCAGGGCGGGGGGCAGACGCCTCCGCTTGCCCTCGTGTGGGGGCGCCTATGTCCCTTAAAGTTGACCACAAATGGGATTTTTTTTTATTATTAGTTTATTAGTGCAAGCAAGAAACTAAAATAACGTTACCAGTAAAAGGCCGCCTGGCTGCGTGGGGATAACTGGTGACCAGATCAGTTCAATGGGATTCAACTACGCGTGGTAAGGTGACAATTTGAGAATTTTAATTCCATTTTCTCGGTCCATCTCGTCTATAATATATTATTTTTGAATTCGTTTTTATGTCGCCTTCCTATTAAGAGTAAATCTGCCTTCAAGAATTTAGGAGGACTTAGAAAGAAGCCATTTTGAAATATCTTCTTTTTTCAATCTTGTTGTAGGTAATGACTGCTTTAATCGACTGTGATAGGACGCATTATCCAAAACAATAACGGAGTTCTGAAACCAATTTTCAAATATAGGGCCATCCATTTCTTCATGGTAGTCTTTTGTTTTCTTTAACTCGAACATTAATAAACCATCTGGCAAAAATCTATCGGTGCTTCCAATGTTGGTTATTATTGAACGATTTCCTTTTCCTGTTGGATTTTTTAATCTCCAAGAGAGGTATATTGTCAAATTTTTGTCACTATGTCCAGCATTAACCCACGTTTCATCTAAATAAAATACCTGTTAATGCTGATTCATTGCGTCCGCTATTTTCCTTAAATTATAATATCTCCACGCAATTATTTCGTCTTCCTCTGTTAAAAAGCTGTTTCTGTTACGTTTTTTTTAGGGAAAATTTTATTCATGTAATATTTTTTGCAGATGAAAATATGATATATTTGAAAGATCGGGACTATTTTCTATTTCTGAGTGTAATTTTTTAAGTGTAGGAATTTAATTTCGAAAGAAAAAAGAATGTGCCATTTACCTTATTATATTCTTTACCCAAGTTTCAATAAAGGTCTTGTTTCGTCCTGGGGGCTTTTTCGGTTACGAGACTTTTATATGACTGTAAAATTATATACCAATACAAAATTCCGAATACATTAAAATACATACGATACGGTAAACGAAAACTTTTATTATGCCGATCAGATGTATTAAAATTTTCATTTTAACTACAAATAAGGATTAAAGAATGAGATATAAATAAAATGTCTACCTCTTGTACCTGTACTACGTTCTGCAAATTAAATTACTGCAATTCTTTTTTCTCTAGACTATAGTTTTAGAAGGAAAAATATTTATTTTACCCCAGAACATTCATTGTATGCAAGAATTTCATGGTGCAACAAGTTTAAGGTTTATTTTTTAGAAATCGATGTGTTGATAGAGTAGTAATAATAACTTTTATATTAACATTGAAGATTTAAAATTAACTAATTTCGATATTTTTTCTTTTTCAGAAACAACACCAACTTGGTGAGTATAAAATTATTTTAAAGTTATTAAATTTCGATTATTTAATATTATACAATTTGACTTCTGTAACAATAACCATTTTCACCGTAGAGTATTTATTTTCTATAAGGATCAAAAGAGAATAATGAAACATTATCAAATATTAAAACATTGTAGAACTAAATCACTCGGTACTTGAAAGGAACAGTTCTAGTGGGTACACCTCGAACGACTTCCACAAATTCGCGGCCATATTTCTGTCTCTCTCTAAAGTCTATTAGGCATTCCAAACAAAATGGCTACCAGTAGGTTTTGACAGGTTATGATATGGCAAAATTATGGCAACCCTGTAGGCCTGGTGATTTGACAAGGTCAATGAAATAGATAGTTACATAAATTGATCATCCATATTTTTCAAAATAAACAATCTTATGCCTTGAAGTAAAAATGTAGGTAATTATTTTTTTACTTTATTCAAAGGCTAAATAATGGTTTGTAAACACATTTTTGCAAAATCGATTCTGATTAATTAGTACTTGCGTGGCAATATGGCCGCTCATAAACGACCCGCTTTGAGCAATCTATATAACTCTAGATGTATCATTGACCCTGTCAATGACAACAGGCTTACAGGGTTGCCATATCTAAATGTCAGTTCCCACTTGTCAGCAGTTTGACAGATCGTTGGAATGCCTTATCGAACGAAGAAATTGTAAATGTATCTTTTAAGTAACGATTTAGCTGTACATTAGATTTGGGTCATATACGAGGATGATCTGAAAAGTTTCCGACCTGAACGTGTAGATGGCAGCACTTGTCAATAAAAACTAGGGAATGCGATTGAGAATCTTTTTAACAGGTATTAAAAATGTCAGCCATTTTGGACTTTGTTGTTATTTGCCAATTATGGGTCCTTAAAGTAATCAAAAATATCACATAAACTTAATTTTATTTCGAACACTTCATTAAGCATTCAAAATGTTAACATCTCTATAAATAACTTAATTAAAATTAACAAAAACGATTAAATTTTCAAAGTAAATATTCAAATTGATGTCAATTATTGACCAGGCATAAATTATACACCTTTTTGTGATACCTTGAACTACATTGTACAGAGTGATATTTTTCAAATATTTCGAAAATTGTTAGAAATATTTTTATTATTTCTTTTGTGTATCAATTAATACATGATAAAAATAATTAATAATTTGTGTTAAAAAATCTATTGGTATTTCATAAATATTTTTTTTTTGTAATAAACAAAAATCAATTCCTTAAACATATTAATATGACTGAATAGGTATTTAAGGAGGTCCTTTCGCTACCAATGTTAAATAAAAAATATTAGATTATGACTAAAATTAATTTTTTTTCTAATAGTAGATGTCCTTATTTATCTAATAGTGAACTTTTAACTATACCTTACCGTGTAAATTTTTAAGAAAATTTTTTTTAAAAAATGTGTGTGTTTGTACAGTGTCTTATGAGAAACTAAGACTTCAACAACATTTTTCGAATTATAATTAATTTTAATATTATTTATTGATTAGATGGAGTAGAAAAAAACTAAAAATAAGGTTTTTGAAATATTTAGGTTTTGTTTTTTACAATAAAATATATAGGTTACCGTGGAATTTATTGAGAAATTATTATTAAAAAATCACAAAAAATTTTCAACTAGGTTACTTGAAAATTTTTTGTGATTTTTTAATATTAATTTCTCAATAAGTTCCACGGTTTACTATATATATTTTATTGTGTAAAACAAAATCTAAATATTTCAAAAACCTTATTTTTAGTTTTTTTCTACTCCATCTAATCAATAAATAATAGTATGATTCGAGAATTGTTGTTGAGGACTTACTTTCTCGTGAGGCACTGTACAAATTCTCACATTTAAAAAAAATTCTCAAAAATTTGCAAGGTAAGGTATAGTTAAAAGTTCAGTATTAGATAAATAAGGACTTCAACTATTAGAAAAAAATTAATTTTAGTCATAATCTAATAACTTTTTTTTTAACATTTGAGGCGAGAGGTGTGGCGAAAGGACCTCCTTAATAGACCTTTCAAATGATATATTGCGCACTCATATTTTTATTTAAAAAATGTATCGATGACGTTATCACGCTTATAAAAATTACGTCAAAAATAAATAGGTAATTTGACGAAACGGCCGTTTGCAAATAAAAATCGACGGGTTTCAGGATTTTTCTATAAAATCGCCGGTTTACTAAATAATGAATTTATTCCTTTTATTGAAACCATACTGTATGCTGTTTTACAAAGGAAAGGACTGGGATAAAACCTACATTTCATAAAGAAATATGTCGATGACATAATAATATGTTTACCTAGCGATGGACTGAATGAGGTGCTCGAAATTTTCAATAGCTACAAATGAAAAATAGAGCACTCAGTATTAGTGATAGTTCCTTCCACCAAAAAAACCTTAACATCCTATACAAGCTTTTTATTGACCACTCATACCCATATTCCTGGTGAAAAAACTTTTATATAACTCTTCATCCATCTTAACGAATAATAAACCAATAATATAGAAAGTCAAAACAATAATGCAGAAGCTGAAAATGTACCACCGGATACCAACATCACATTTGTCATTCTACCATACATCAGAGATATCACACCCAGGCTCATACACTTGTTTTATTTAACATCAAATTTAAAATTTGCAAATAAAACTGTTCTCACCGTTAATAGTGTATTCTCAAAACTTAAGGACAAAACATCAATGCTAACTTGGACTGATATAGTCTACAGTATCCCTTGTGTATATTGTAACTTATTATAAATAGATCAAACTACAAGACCATTAAAAGACCGCATAAAATTTCAATTTGTCTTAACTTTAACATTTAACCTAACCACCAGAATGTACGATAATTATGTCTCTCTCTGAATCAGAGGAGTCTCATTAGTCCCCCACTGCCTCCTCTACGAATTTCAATCCGTGGTAGGCCTCATTAACCGACCATTCATTGAACTCTCACCAGTTTTAAAGGGTTCAGGAAATATACATGGTTGTCGTCATTAATAAAATTTAACTATGTTTCATTAAAAATACCATAATTTTATTCTTAAATCAATAATTAAAACTTTATCTTTCAGTTCAATTGTATATGACACGTGCGACTCCCATTGTGAAAGGGCTCTTTCAGACACAACGATTTCGTCCGTACGGAAAAAATTCGTACGGATTTTTTCGTGTGTCGTTGATAGTAAACTAATAAAATTAATTGCAGCTTTCATACTGGACGGAGACGGATTTTTTCCGTACGGTCGATTTGAAAACAGCCGTGTCAACGACTGAATTGTACGGTACAATTGCACGGTACCGTACCGTCGCCGTCTATCAGTGACCTATGTAACTTTATGGGCTCTTTCAGACACAACGGTTTTGTTCGTACGGAGAAAATTTGTACGAATTTTTTCCGTGTCTTGGTAGAATTCACACTCGACGGTTTTCTTTTCCGTGAACCGTCTTTAGCTATTGTATTTTATGTCAGTTGGTTATCGACATGAATCAAAAGCGCACCATTGCCATGTGGCTTTTGTACCGTCATATATATACAAAAGTATCGGAAATGATATAATCGTATACAATAGGTGCACCCAATTAATCAGAAAAGAAATGAAGTGGGCCCATTCATTTGCTAAATGGAAGATTAAAGTGCAGACGAACATACAATTTTAAATTACCTTGGATGTCAATCTCTGATCAGCTTCATAACCGACTAAAAAACAATATTTAGCGGTATAATACTAAAATGAGAAACTACATTGAACCTAAGGAAATAATAGTTGTGACACTGAAGTAAAAGAGTTCTATGTTTTTTTCGTTACTAGTTTATTAACTATAAAATCAAAAAATAAACAAAAAATTCAATATGTCAAACTACTAGTTCATAATATTGTCATTCATGGTCATATTGACGCGTAAAACAAAAAAAAATATTTATGATAAATAACCAAACGGCACGCGATAACGGACGGCAGACGGCTAAAAATCGTCATATATGAAAGCCTGCATAAAGTTACATAGGTCACTGATAGACGGCGACGGTTCGGTACCGTACAATTCAGTCGTTGACACGGCTGTTTTCAAATCGACCGTACGGAAAAAATCCCTCTCCGTCCAGTATGAAAGCTGCAGTTAATTTTATTAGTTTACTATCAACGACGCACGCAAAAAATGCGAACGAGTTTTTTCCGTACGGACGAAATCGTTGTGTCTGAAAGAGCCCTATGCAGGCTTTCATATGACGATATTTGGCCGTCTGCCGTCCGTTATTGCGTGCCGTTTGGTTGCATGTATTTTGATTTACGCGTCAATAGGACCATGAATGACAATATTATAAACTAGTAGTTTTACACATATTACATTTTTGTTTGTTTTTTGATTTTGTAATTAATGAACTAGTAACGAAACAAACATAGAATTCTTTTACTTCAGTGTCACTACTATTATTTCCATAGGTTCAATGCAGTTTCTCATTATAGTATTATGCCGATGAATACTGTTTTTTAGTCGGTTAATAAGAAGCTCATCAGAGGATAAGATGGACATCCGAAGGTAATTAAAAATTGTATTTTCGTCTGCACGTAAATCTTCCATCAAGCAAATGAATGGGCCCACTTCATCTATTTTCTGATTAATTGGGTGCACCTAGTATATACGATTATGTCGTTTCCGATACTTTTGTATATGACGGTACAAAAGCCAAATGGCAATGGTGCGCTTTCGATTCATGTCGATAACCAACTGACATAAAATACAATAGCTAAAGACGGTTCAGGGAAAAGAAAACCGTCGAGTGTGAATTCTACCAAGACACGGAAAAAATTCGTACGAATTTTATCCGTACGAACAAAACCGTTGTGTCTGAAAGAGCCCAAAGGGTGGTCCGGAAATAAAGTCTCATTAGCTTTATGCAACCCCCTTTGATTTGAAATAATTGGCTGTAGTACCTCATTAGTCCCACACAGTTAAAGTAAAT